CTGCTGGCCGTTGGCCCCGCCCACCGCGCGGAGGGGCGGGGCCTGGTAGCCGCCGCGGGGCTGGCGGGAGCGGAGGCCTGTGAGGAAGTTGGGCTGGCCCCTGCGACTCGTCCCGCCGGGGCCTAGGAGAGCGGTGCCTGCAGTCCGCCCCAGCGCTCCTCTTCTCCTGCGGGCCAGGTCAGACCCAGCCGGAGGCCACGGAGGGCTCCTCGCGCACACAAGGGCCAGACCAGACCCCCTGTCCCTGCACACGTTGGCCGAGGACCGATGTCCTTCGCTTCCTTTTCACTAACGTAACCGCGCTGCAGGGTTAGTCCTCGCTTTGCGCCTGGGAAGGTGACTTAGCCCGACGCAAAATCCAGGGATGCAGCAATTGAAGGTGTGGGTTGGTTTTAGTTGAAATTGTTCCCTGCGAGGCTGGTAATATTTGAAGTCTGAAGCTTTGTGGAGTCCTGCCAGCTGGGTATGTTCGGCCAGTCCGATGATGCTGGGTGTTTTGCAGTACAGTGGCTAGAAACGCTGTCGTTTGGTAACCTGGCTGGATCGCAGTGTGGATGGGTCCTGAAGTAAACCACAGCTTCCCTGCTGGGTCTTCTTCCAGTAATTTGAAATGTAGCTGTGATGGACATAAGTCGTTTTTCTCATTCGCATCTGGATTCTCTAAGACTCTTATTGCAAATACCATGAAATGTTTTTACGTACGCTTCAGTGGGATGCCGAGGGTTTTTGTCTGGGGGTCAGGCCACGTGCAAAAAAACACAAGACTAGGAAATGTTTAAAGGACATGTTTCATAAAATGCAAACACACATGTGGCTGTATCCTCCGTTCCCCCTAGAGGATGAGCAGGTGCTCTAAGGTTTCTTTCACGTTCTATTCGTACAATTGTTCTTCTGAACTGTAATGACTAATCCTGTCCTGAAGCTACTGAAATTTGAGAGAAGTGTAGTACAAATAAGTAAGTATGACTTGTGGCCAACCTTTGAGAATTGTGATGTATCCTTTCTCGTTGTTGGGTTTTTTGGGCATACCTTGGATCTTGCACACACACATTTTATCTTGGTGTAGATATTTATAGCCAGAATATACACCATTTTGTCTTCTGTGTCTTCAGTTCTCCTTCCCTTTGATTTTCATCCTAATATTCCCCTTTCTTCTCCAAAACGCTAGCATTGCTTTAAGTCAGTGATGGGCAAAATGCAGCCCGGGGGCTGGATGCAGCCCGCCAGGCCATTCTATCCGCCCGGGGGCCCTAAAAATTTAGAAAATTAATATTTATCTGCCCTGGGCTGCCTGTCACAGGCCCTCAGTGGCTTGCCAAAACTCAGTAAGCGGCCCTCTGCCCAAAATAGTTGCCCGCCCCTGCCTTAAGTCTTGCTTTGGATGATGTGCAAGAACTTGGAATTGCAGCCACAGCAAAATAAGGCTGTTAAGGGACCTGAGAAGGTCCTCTAGTCCAGTTCTGTGCTCAGGATAGGATTGTACCCTCTTGAACCACCAAGAAAAATGTTTGTATAACCTGTGCTTAACAACAGCTAATGGAGGAGTTTCCACAGCCTCTCTAAGTAAACTGATGTAGGATTTAGGATTTGAGCCTCCATATGGAAGGCAGAATAGTCTTGAACCTGATGATGCTTCAGGATGTATTGCACCGCTCTGATATTCCAGGGAGCATTGCCATTTTGTTGGCCGTTTACAAAGTACTTTCCTCCACAGTCCTGTAGCTCTGCTAGGGGAGGAAAAGGAACGGGGTCATGGCCCTGCAGAACACCATCCCTTAAGCCTCAGGAGTGGTTGTTGGCTACGAGTGGTCCGTTTCACTGAGCTGCTGCGTTGGGGAGAGAGTTTTTGGTTCCACGATACTATCACAGAGAGTGAGCACAATTTAGATGGAGGTTTCTAGAAACTGCTAAGCAGGTAGTACACTAGAACCTGCATTTTTTTTTTGTATAGGGACGATTTGCAGCACACAAGTCACAGTGGGTTGCCAAATGAAGAATGAGCCACTAAGGTGCCTGCTGTGGCTTATGTTTCAAAAGGGCACTACTTCTCTGATCACGTGGAGCTGCTAGGATCCCATGTAGCTAACCACAGAAGCAATGTCCTTTAGCCACAATAAATAGCTGTTTGCTGTGGATATATATGTATTCTCAGCTAGTTCATCTTTGCAGTAGGATAAGGAACCCAAGCCTACAAAGAATCTAAGTTTTCCTGTACTACATCTCAAAGACTTGCTTGAAAAGTGGGTTGGTACTTTAATTCATTTTCAAGTCCATTCCTCCATGACTGATTCACAATACTTGTACACTTCTAATTTAGTCACTGTGTATCCTACCAAGATTAAAGTGAGGTCTAAGCACTTCCAGTTTCCATTTACCTCAGAAAGTTTGTAAGTACATTTTCCCCAGTAACAGTGAAGGCCAAATGATCAGCTTGTCCCCTGGAGATACAGCAGAATCAGACTAAAAACCTCTTGCGCTTAACAGTGAAAGGACCATAATGCTACCTTCTGCTTGAGGCAGTAGCAACAGGCCGCGCTCCCCACTTAGGCAATGGGCAGGACAGGCAGGTGGGAATGCCAGTGTCCCCCCTGTGAACGCCAGCTGGGGAGTGGAAGCGCTGGATGAAGTGCTGTGGCCACGTCCGGGAGCACCGTGGCCAGGTCACTGTCCAGTTGCTGGTGAGGCATGTGCCCCCCCCCTCCCTCCCCAAACTAAGGTGGCACCAGTTGCTCATGACTTGAGGTACAGGAAAGAATTAATGTAGTTTTGGTTTTCATTAGAAAATAGCAGATAGTAGCAGGGCTGTTTAGAGTAACTTTTTCTCCATTCTGTCTCCAACATTTCTGTTTCTGGCATGGGACAACCAGGCCCCAACTATGCACTAAGCTTAGGATATATCTTCACTATGGATTTCTGTCAGCTGTTCTGTGTTACTATGAAGAGACATAGTCTTTGATCAACACTGCTTCGTCGGCAAAAGTCTCTTGACCCAGTTATACAAGCAAAACTATTCTTTTGCCACTCTAGCTTGTTTTGGGAAGTATTTGTATGCTGTCAGTACAAAACTTAACTATCCTGGCATGGTTGCATCTGTTCAAGGAGTGCTTTGCCAGTACGGAGTAGTGCAGTTCTTTAAATCAGTAAAACACTATTGCAGGCAGGGTTTCCAACTCTGATGCATTAACGGTGTGGTCAGTACTCCCAAAAGATCTTTTCTTACAGCCACATTTGGTGACGATATGTGATTATAAAGAATCCCAAATTTTATTTTTTTAATGACTTCTTATATTACACTTAAGTTTGAAAGCATACCCTGAGTAGTGAATCCAAAGAGCTAAGGAGCATAATGTAACAAGTGCAAATTTTGTGTTATCCAAATTTCAGAGGGCGTTTTTACATGTGCTCTGGGAGTAGGGGGAGGCGCTTTATTTAGAGTAGATCCAAGAGCTGTTCTAATTAAAGCGCCTGCAGCATCTCCTGTATCAGCATCTCTGCGCTTCAGTATGACAGTGGGGGTGCTTTCACTAAAACTCATCAAATGAGCTTTAGTCAGAAGTGCCCCCACCAGCATTTTGAAGCACAGGGATGCTGATACATGAGATGCAGAGGCTGGCTGGATCACACCAATTAGCATGCTCCAGTAGGCTCGATTAATTGGGTCTGTTCTGATATGCTGTAATTACAGCATGTCAGAGTAGCCTCATGGCTCGTGTACAGGCACCCATGCTCTTTAAGTCAATCTAATGATTTTTTTTCTGGGGAGAGCTGGACTCAGGAGTTTTGGACACTTGCATTTGGCAGTACTGTCCACTATCTACATACCAGTTCTACATACAATATGTTTTCAGCACTTCCTTTTTAAAATTAATTTTCCCCAACCTGTTTTAAATTCCCACAGCAGCATTAAGATGATTTTAGTTTAAAATATAGAAATATGTTTTCATAATGGTCCCAAGACTGGATCTCCACTTGAGAAGAAGCACATACAGAGTAATGGTCTCAAGACTAGATATCTATATGAGAAGAAACACACACTTACTTTTTAGGTACAAGGCATTCCTCTCATATGGCTGTGACCTAAAGACTTTTAATTTTACTTTTTACTTTTTTAACTCTTAACTTTGTTGATTGAAATATTTTGACTGTGAATACCTGAATACCAGGGATCCGGGTTTTCCATTTCCCACAGATAAACTAAGTAAACCATGGCTTTTACCAGAGGCAAACATGGATTTCTCATTTTACCGGAGAAGCCTGCAGATTTTGCAGGTTTGGGATGAGCCTTCTGCAGGCTGGCAGAGTTCCAGCCTGCAGGGGGCTGGGAGGGAGTGGGAGGAGGGTGGTCAGGCAGGGGGCGCAACATGCACGTATATGCACATAGTGCTAGGCAGCCTAGAGAGCAGCTCCCAGAGGTAAGTGGGGAGCAGGGAAATTGAGCCCTTATAGAGAGGGAGGGAGGGAATTGGGCAGGACTAGGACTGGGGCTGCTGCAACCAACAGCCAGGGCACAATGGAGTCTAGGGCTCTGATTTTCCCCCATGGTTGGGAACAGCAGCTGATCTGATCTCCCAGCCCTTGACTCTGTCCAGTATGCACCCAAGGCTGGGAGCAGGGAGCAGCTAATTGGCTTCTTAATTGCCGGTGCAGGGGAATGATCCTGGGCTCTCCCTGCACCAACAATATGGCACCATGTGATCTGATCCCTGATCCCACAATTGTACTTTCTGCCATGCACATATATCATGGCAGGAAGCCTGGTTTTGGGATCACACATCAGATCCCCTGGCACCTTTAGTTGAACGTCAGCCAGGGGCCTGAGTTGGAGACATGGAAATTCTGTATAATGGCATTAAGTCTTTGTGACCAGCACTGACTGGTTTTCTTGATCCTGTCAGGGGCAAAACCCTTTAATGCAGATGGGAGTAGTTCCATTGACTTCAATGGCCTGTAAATCACATCTTTAAGAAGCATTTTCTCTTCTTTCAGTTTGAGCACTGGAATGCTATGTTTTGTGGGGTTGTAAATCCCATTTGTAAACCAATGGTGAGTTATTAGCCATGAAGAAATGGAGATTACTCCAAGCAGAGAGAGAGGTAATCCTAATTCTTTTAGTCATGGCAATGAAGGACTTTGTTTCCACCCCAAAAAGCAACTTAAATTTAGGGGCTCATCCCCAGTTTAATAGAAAGCAATCACCTGCGTTCTGCTGTTATGAAGGATGGGACATGTTTGTACGCATTCAAATTTTATAAGTATACTTCCTATGGCTTTGTCTTTCTCTTCTGGGTGCTTGTGGAGAAAGCTATCTGTTCAAATGATTTTATCAATTGGAAGAAATGGCAGGCCTTGCTGTATACCCAAAACATATCCAACTAGAGGAGGGAAATTCTATGGGACATGTGAAATTGATTACTTTAAACACTGAAGTCATGAATGATACTGAATAGAAGTTCTGAACAGGTACTGCTATTCAGGCTGAGGAGAAAGTGGTGCTGTCCTTCAGATCTAGAACTATGCACGGAAACTATCCACAAGAGATACTAGGGTTCACATGGGATTCCTTCTCTCCCAGCCGTGCAGTCTCCTGTTGTGAGGAACAGACCATGTGGACAAGTAAAGCCAGAGGCAAAATCTGGCTGAGCAGCTGCAGAAAGCAACTCAAGTAGGGAACAAGGAACACCAGTGACATCAGACAATTTTCTTCAGTTTTTACTGTGAAGAGTCTATCCTCTGTGATGATTTGCTGTGTGTCCCATCCTGAATTTACTGTATTCATTTCCTCTACCCCTTCCGTTCCTTTGTCTTTCTGTTCACCAAATCACTAACATATTTCCCCTGAAAGGGTTTAAATAAAAAAGGAAGAAAACCCCATACCATTGCATCATTTGTCCTGGTTGTACGTTGTATCTTGTCCCCCCTACTCTTTGTTGGGCCCGGGGTGTTTCCAGTCTCTTTGAGGTGCAGGAGCTGTTCTGTGTTTGTACAGTGCTAAACACTGTGGTCCCAAGCACAGTTGGCCTTTAGTTGCTACTGTAATAGATATGATCAATACATGAGTTTCTCAGTGTTGGCTTGGCCTTTAACTCTGTGTAAGCTTTTGACAAGACACATTTGGCTGTTTTTAGCTTGTTTTTAGATATAATATTTCTGATCCAAACATGGAAATATTGAGGTAAATCCTCAAGTAGCACAAACTGGCATAGTTCCCATTAGGCAATGCTCCCTTATGCTGACTGGAGATTGGGATTATTGTTTTTCAAGATCAGATAATTCTGCAACAGTTGTAGTTTGGTGTTTCAAATTTATCAGGAAAAATTGTTTTGCCCTTAAAAGATTATAAGTTTCAAGCCAAAGAAATTGGAGTGCATTATAAATCACTAAAAAAGGAAGGTGAGTTTGAATTCAAGTCTTAGCTGTGTTGAATGCAACTCATTGGCCTAGACCAGGGGTTGTCAATCAGGAGTATGCGTACCCCCAGGGGCACTTAGAAAGGTCCTAGCGGGTACAAGTGGGATGGGGCACAGCAGTGGTGTCTCCCCCAGTGTGTTTCTATGCTCCCACACTGTGACCGGAGTCACCTTGTGCCGGGTGCTGGTGAGGCTGAGGGAGAAGGGAGGCATGGCTTGACCAGGAACAAAGTTTGACTCTCCCCTGTGCTTCCCCAGCCCGGCTGCGCTGTCCCAAGGGCAGTGTTGTAGCGTGGCATACTTCGCCTGCTTAACTGGGGGAGTGGGAGGGATGTGCTGGGCACCACCAGCTCCCCACGGCACACTGCAGCACCTCCCTGCCCCCCACCACAGCTCATTCTCCAGATTAGCCATTACCCACTTAGAGCAGCGCCTTGGGGGGGGGGCACGAGTGTGTTTTGTACCTGCCCCCGGCAGCACACGATTGGCCAGGTGTGAAGCCCATCAGCAGACAGCAGAGCCACACATGCAACCGACCGTGGCAAAGCAACGTGGGGCACAGTGGCGAAGATGGCGACAGCAAACATCTGTGCTGGTGCCTGAAAGTGGTTGTAAATTGAATTAGTGCCTGATTAATCTGCTCCCAGGCCTGCTAGCCCAGCAGGGTACCTTTGGCAGTGCAGTTGCTGTCCATGCAAGGCAGTGGGGCTCTGGCTGCCACCAGCTGCTTCTTTGACAGTCCCTGGACAGGCAGCTGGGCTCCCATTGTCCCAGGACCCAGCCTTGCCTGGGCCACATTCACCCCTGCCCCAGCCTCACTACCTTCTGCACTGTGGGGGTCACCATCTGTCCCCCCCCAGCCCCTTCCCTCCACACATACTCTCACCCTGCTGAGGGGTGGGGTGTGTGTTTGAGTCTGTGCCTGCATCTGTGTGTGTTTGTCTGTGTCTGTGTAGCAGAGCACGCTGTGCTCAATTTACTATCAGGGGCCTGAGCAGTAGCCAGGCAGCCTGCAGCTGCCTGTGGTGGTAATAAGCAGAGTTGCCTGATTAGGGAATGAGACTCAGCTGCAGTATGTAAGGGCTGAGTTCCCCAAACTTCAGGGCAGCAGTTTGCTACTACCAGCTGAGGAGGCAACATCTGGCTGAGCTGCTGCCTGGGACATCTTAGAGGTAAGGCCTAGGGCTGTGGGGAAGGAGGAGGCCCTATGGTCCTGAGCATGACCTGAAACTGCACCCTGCAGGGGAAGGGTGGCTTGGTGGAGCTACCTGTGGTGGGATAGTTCCCCAGAAATGCCAGGACCATTACCTCCCTGGTGAAAGGCTAGTAGGGGCACCTGAAAACCTCAGCCCTCACGTCCCTGGTGGGTAAGATCTGAGACAGGGAGCCCAGACTCACTGCAAGCACCAAGGCAGGGCCTAGGTCAGTGGAGGGACCTGCGGCAGCATCCAGTCTGGCAGGAGAGCCTGGGCGCATTATGGAGACGGGTGTTAGGCTTCAGGGGGGATGGGGCTTGGATCCCTAGTCCCATTGTGAAGGGCTTGAAGCCCAGTGAGGGGGCCTGGGGCCTAGAGATATAGAGAATGGTTGATGCCTGGGGACAGAGTTTGGAGCCCGAGTGTGGGGCAGGCTTGGAGCCCAGGGACAGGGCTTGGAACCTGAGGACAGGATTTAGAGCTGGGAGAGGCTTGTGGCCTGGGGATGGGGCTTGGAGCCTGAGGAGAGGGCCTGGAGCCTAGGGAAGGGGCTGGTAGGGCCAGAGATGGGACTGGGAGCTCAGTTGATGAGATTATGATGAGGCTGGGTGTTAGCTCATAATGGTGATGAGGCCGGGTGTTAGGCCAAGAAACATTTACGAGGCGTGGGACGTCTCAAGGGAAGGTCGGAACATGTACAGTGGCCCTTGTCATTAGGGCAGGTAAAGGGTAACCTCCCGCCTGATTAACATCAGATAATCAGAACATCAAGGCATGGCAGGAAAGATGGGCGGGCCTAGATTGAGATCAGCCCCAGGATGCCCGCTTGTTACAGTCTGCATCTGCATGCATGTGTCTGTCCCCTGCTAACCCAGTGGGAGCAGGCACATGGCGTTGCATGGCCTTTGGGGCAGTGGTAGCTGGGGGCAGAGTCCAGCCTGCAGCAGCAGCTGCCTCTGCCCCACACACAGATCTGTGGGGCACATGACCCCCAGGCCTCCGCCAGGGTGTGCACAGCAGCAGAAGCCCCCTGTCACACTAGGTTGAAAATGCCCAGTTGTGGCTAGGTCAGTGGGCTGGACACCAATGAGGACGCAGTTTATGATTAATATGCAATATTTATTTGGCTTTAACCTATAAAATATTGACAACTTAAGCAAATGATTTCCTATATAATACTAATGTACGACAACATACAATAATCAAACAATCAAAGCTGAGGAGCAATGTCTGTTGGGTCATGAGGTTCGGGTCAAGGGCCCTTGCTTTCAAAACCATGAATGGTTTTGGTGCGGCTGGCCAGGACCCTAGTCTGAGACCTGGTCAACAGCTCATATTTCTTAAAAGGTCATTTAACAATCAAAACATAATTAATCAAAACAATCACAAACAGCTAAACGGGAAATTACGTCCGTTGAGTCACGGGGTTCAGGTCAAGGCCCCTTGCTTTCAAGATCACGGATGACCTTGGTGCGGCTAGCCAAGACCCTAGACCCAGACTTGGTCAACGGCTCATGTCTTTTACAGGAAAGACAGACAAATACAAACATAAATAGCTACAGTCTTACATGCATGCTTACCACTACAGCAAACAAAAGGAGCAGCTTCATAGCTGGGAATGTTAGTCTCTTCACGGAGGCCTCAAGAACAACCCGAGGCAGTGCTCGGGGGGCAACCCTGCAGGTGATCAGTCCGCGGGCCCTTTGACGCTTGAAGTTACAGTTCAAACTTCCCCTGTCAGGGCCTTGTGGCTTTACTCTTTTATACCCTTACTCTTTTTCACTTATTTTTACTGGCCAATTGTGTTACCTTCCTGCCAGCATTCTGTTTACTCGTCAGCAGCCCCTTCCTCATGAAGTCCCCTCATTGTCTTTTGCTTAGCCAATTATGTTGCAATTTCCTTCCTGCTTCGATGGCAGTTCAATGCGATTGACTTCCCTGCCTTGTGAGCGTGACAGGGGTCACCTGTCTAGAGGCCTGTGTTATGGCCTAGCATTCTGCCATTTCACTGCGGTCTGGCCATTCATTTGGGGAGATGCCCGTGACACCCCCCCTTCACCCCTGGACAAGCCACCTGGGCTCCGAATGTCCCATGACTTGCCCTGGCCCCAGGGTCCCATTCACCCCAACCCCTGCCCCACTCCCTCACTGTGGGGGCATTGATCTGTCCCCATGCCCCTTCCCCATGACAGACCTGCTGCGGGGGGGGGGGAGCGGGCATGCGCATGAAAGTTTGCATGTGCTCAGCCCCCCCCCCCAAATAAAATTTTCTTGATTTTTCCACTGTAGCCCCCAGGGGCAGTTTCAACATTGGTGGAGTGCCAGAGCACCGAGGCAGCTCAACTGAACATGGGTAAGTTCCTCAAGTGCAAAAGAAAAGTGGAGGAAAAAACACAAAAGGCTGTACTACAGAAAGTGCAAAGTGACAGAAAGTTCGTAAGTACAGCGATGCCTGTTTGGAGTTCAGTTTTACATATGTGTGTCCCAAAGATAAATTCAAATGGAAATGTGTCATTTGCTTGGAGGAACTCTCTAATGAGTGTATGAAGCTGTCTTTATTAAAAAGGCACTTGGAAACAAAGCATGCCAGCTTGGTTGGAAAACTGATTGAATACTTTGAACAGCGGCTTGAAAGTTTCAAACGTCAGAAGGAGGTGTTTACTTGTAGCATTAAAGTCAGTGAAAGTGCTCTGAAGGCCTCATACCTGGTATCAATCAGAATTGCAAAATGCAAGAAAGCACATACAATTGCAGAATTTTGATTGTACTTGCCAAAGTGGACATTTTGTAAAGTACTGTTTGGCAAGGAGATAAAGTTAAAAAGATACCTGTTTCAGACAATACCGTTTCTCATAGAACTAGCAAAATGGCAAAGGATGTGGAGGCACAACTGCTTGAGAGATTGAAAACAGTCTCTACATATGCTCATCAGGTTGACGAATCTACAGACATAGGAAATCAGACTCAGCTGTTAGTATTTGTTCTCTACATTTGGGAAAGGAAGTTGGTTGAAGACTTCTTTGTGTCTTCAA